CACTCTCTTAATAGTTTGTCATTGACATGGATGGTCGCGATCTTTCTATTATTTTGACAAAGATCGTGACCTTATCATATACTTAGCTACTGGAAAATGGAACATGTTATGATCGAAATAATTAGGTGTAACATAGAAGTTAACAAAACAAACCTCAAAGATAATGAGTAAGAAGACAAATCAGAAATATATCAAAATACATAAAGATATAATGTGGTTCGGTTAACCGACCTACATCCACAAGAAGAGATGAGTAATTCACTATATAAATATGATAATACAAAGTATCGAGAGAAGTAACCTTACAGAATTTACTCGGAATAAAAGAGGTTCACACAAGTGATAACGTATCATACACTTGTGTCTAACCGTTTCCCTACCTACACAAAACTCTCAAAGCCCCTAGGATCGGACTACATTGTGAATGCTACTAAGTCATAAACTTTTTTCTATAAGAAAAGGACTAGCCATATATAGAAACTTTGTGTTTTCCTTTTACGAAAAAAAAATCTATTTATGATAAGAAATTCATGACAAATATCTAACGGAACAAATATTGAATCTTGAACTACAAACTCACTTTTGTCAATAGTGTTGTATTGAAGACATGGCAAATTATTGCTCTAACAATCTTTGATTTTGTCATCTATATACCATATAGCTTGAAACATAACATGTTTCCTTCTCTCTTTTTTTTTGTATCTTGTGATACATCATTACAAGCAAAGTGCAAGTGGATTCACTCACTATTTACAAATTTTCGAACACATTTGTATCACATATTAATCAATATAAAACGTTTAAAATCGATTAAATATATATATAAACAATATATTTAGAATAAGTGATGAGTTATGCAAGCTCAACTTGTTGAATAGTGAACCCCACTCAATCGATATGTATTGTCACTACAAAGCATAATTTATGAAAATTTCTAACAACTTGTGACAAACCTATTGTATAGTGGTTAAAAGAAATAGTGAAAAATAGTCATTTGTTGAGTAAGGTTTAGTAAAGTTGTCAAATGATCGAATTTAAATCGCAATTGGGTGGATTAAAATGAGTTGAATCAATGAATATGTCCGATTAGAAAATTTGCATTCTAAGAGTTGAGGGAGAATCATGTTACGTTTTTAATCCTTGAAAAATCAAAAAATTCTAATATTGATCCTTGTGATAACCTGATCAAACACATTTAACCTTCTATTACTTGATTGTGAATCATAAAATATTTAACAAATTATTAATGGTTAAATCATTTAAACGAGTTGACTTAAACATTTAAGGAGACGTTTGACCATGAAATTTTAACTTTACTCTAAAATAGCTGGTTTGGCACATAAAACTCTAGAACTAACTTCAAGTTGAATTTCAAAATTTTCAAGAATTTGAAAATCAAAAAATTACTCACAAAAAGTCAAAAACCACTCTAAATTTGTATTCATTTTTTAAAAATCATTTTTCACTATTTTAACAAAAACTATTTTCTTAAAAAGAAAATCTAAATGAAATATGGCAAAAGCCCACTTATTGTGACCATTAAATGAAATATATTTTCAACTTGCTCAAATTTAAACAATGTTAATGCACACTTATAAGTCAAAAATTTGACATTTGTAGTTATCTATCACCAAACATATCAATGACTTGAGCAAGTTGAATTTATAGGTCATAATTGACACACCAACATACATAAGCCATGATCTTATAATAATTGACTCAAAAATAATATTAATTTGTCATTTATCTGTCGTCAATCTTGTTTAGTGATGAATTATAAAATAAAATAAAATAATTTGTCAAGCTAGCTACAAGAAATTTAGCGTCAGATTAGAGATGAAATTTGTAACTAATTTTTTTTCTAGAGTGTTTATTGACCTATGGCTGCTTCTAATCATTATTCTTAACACATAATTAATTAATAATCTATACATGTTTAGACAAAATAGACTTTCCCACTTACTTAGTCTCTATTGATAATTTAACATACATTTTTTTTCCTTAAACGCTACAACAGAATTGAACGATCCACTAAGAGCCTACATCTACACGTTTCAACAAGTATTACTTAGTATTTTTGCTTTTTGACCCTTTAAAGTATTTATTATTACATAATTAATGACGGAGTTGTGATAAGAATCAAACTCTGAGTTTAATTCAATCTCAAAAATTGGCTCATGAAGGTGAGTACTGGTCGAGTGGTCGTCATGATCTTTTGACCTTGTTACATAATTAATGAAGGGGGTTAAGACTTGAGATTAGAATAAGATTTCGGGTTTAATTTAATCTCAAAAACCAGCTCATGAAGGTGAGTATTGTTAGTGATCTTTTGATCTCGTTACATAATAAATGAAAGGGGTTGAGATAAGAATCATGCGTTGAGTTTAATTTAATCTCAAAAACCAGTTCATGAAGGTGAATATTAGTCGTGATCTTATGACCTCGTTACTTAATGCCTAACTTTTAATTTTAAAAAAATCGTTACATAATTAATGAAGGGGGTTGATATAAGAATCAGACTTTGAGTTTGACTCAATCTCAAAAATTAGCTCATGAAGGTGAGTATAAGTTGTGATCTTTTGTCCTCATTACATAATTAACGAAGGGAGTTGAGAAAAGAATCAGACTCAGTTTTGACCTCACCTATCTCATGGACAAAATGTTAGCTTTACTAGCTACTTTTGATCTTAAAGATTTAATTCGAACTATATCATATAAATTAGGATGTATTAGAAGAGTGATGCAACTTTTGGAGAAAAGGATAGCCATAAACTTATGTAACAGAAAAATTAATTAATAATGTTTTAATTTTCTTATAGTAGAATGGTATGATGAAGATTTTCCCATATTTGTTACGGTTTGGAATATCATTCTATGTAAAACAAGAAAACTCCAAAATTTTGGATGTCATTTTATTTTTTTCATTAATAAACTTGTGGCTAATGAGATTTGACTAATTAATATATGTTTAATGTATACAATGTAATCTCCCTTTCAACAAATAGCTACACGCAATCGATTTGTCAAAGAAAAAAAGAGGGAGAGAAATTTAAGTAGATAATTCATGCATCTGATTAAACGGGAACGTATTCAGAATTTCGAAAAGATAGATATACTATGACAAAAAGATGGAATTAGGATATATATTTTAATCATTAAATTTAATATACTTTTGCAATATTATTATATAGTAAAAATTAATTATGTAAAATAGTAACTTCATTATATGTGTTTGAGTTATGAAAATAACTTTTTATCATAGACTCTTGTAGTCGGGTTCTTCTTGAAATTCCACACATAATAAAAGTTTAGTGTATCGAACTGTCCTTTTTTAGTGAATTAGTTGAATGGCCATTGACATTTTACTTTTGTTAACAAAGAAGATATTACTTTCACCGTTTTATATTACTTGGTCCATGTTGACTTAATGTATTTCATAACTCATTAGATATGTACTTTATTAAACTAACCTTATCAACGATGTGTTGGAACTCTAAATTTGACAATTACTACATTATTTAATAATTTAACACAAAGAATAATATGAATTTTTAAAAATAAAATTCTCTTAATTTGCTAAAATAGGATAGTAAATTTTATTTTTTTATAATATAAAGGATCAAATAAAATAAAACGAACGGAGTAGAATTGCAGCCATGGCTACCTTAATTAGGAGACCTATATAAATAGCTTTACTTTAGGGACCACTTTGATGGCTTTTGTGCAAAAACACCTGTGGTACAAATATTAATATTAATACCAATTTATATTTTTTTCAATATTTTTATTTTTTAAGTATTTGTAATTTTGTATTCGTTTGAAAATGACGGTCATGCTCGTCTCGTATTTATTGATACATTTTTAAATTGATCAGACTTGTGCAATATCCACATCGATGAGAATAGCTCAGTTAGTTATTGATAAATTGAATTGAGAATCACAAAATCATAAATTTAATAAAGCAAATATTTTGGTAATATTATATTCTTCCATTTATCTAAACTATAGTGAATTGAACTATATATCTGGTCCATATGCCCTCCATTGAATTAGTCGTTGTTACGTTGAAATACTAAACACATATTATACATATATTGATTTAACGGAAATAAATAATTGATACGAATAAATTGTTACGTACTTCATACGTCGGCAAACACAAGGGGATAAATCTGGAACTAATTATTAAATTGAGATTAATTTCATAAATAGTATAATCTCATTAGTCATTGGTGACATTGGAATCCACTCATGTTGTATTCACACGATATGATTATAAAATTACAGTAATTTGAGACTTTATACTAAAAAGAGAATTGAAAAAAATAAATAAATTGGATTTTAACTATTTTTAAACAATACTATGTATTTGAGAATATACCAATTTTCCTTAGTTAATATTGTAATTAACATGGGTCGCGATGAAATGGTTGAGATCTTTTCACGCTTAATCAGTTCAGATTCGAGCCTTTGAGAATGAAAAAAATCCTTATTGGTAGTGTCGACCTCATAAATGAATCATATTATGCCTGAATATGAAAATTTAGTTAAACTCCACTATAGATACCGAGTTTCGTTTGAGGAACAAACAAAAAAATCTGGTTCAGTCCCCATAGACTATGTTCCCAAAATTCTCTGACTTTGGTCTAAGATTAGAATAGCAAGTAACAATGACATTTTCACTATTAAATTTATATAGTGGAGCATATATATATATACCATCTTTCAAAATTATAATAGTGCTCATTTCATAGGGCGGAACTAGAATTTAGAGTTTACGAGTTCTAAACTTATTGTTGAACTCATAATCGTTATAGTTATTTAGTCTACAATTAATTTTGTATACATATTTAATGAATTTTCTAATATGAATATAGGGTCTAAACAAAAGTTCGTCATGTTGATCATATGAAATATACTTATACAATTAATTGTATGAATTAGAATATGATGTGTATTTCTTAATTAAATAAAAACAAAGTATAAACAAAGAAACCATAAAAAATTTCCCATTCAAAGAATAAAATTCTAAAAGAAGTAAATGCTACAAATCTTATAAATCCTTAACTAAAAGAGATAAATGTTACAAATCCTTCAGAAAGGTTAATGTATATGTATCTCACTTAAATAAAGATTAAGATTAAAAATAAAGCTACCCTTTGATGAATTGTAATGAGTAATGACCCTAATTTTGATAATTTCTACACTTGATTTTGTTTATTCTAATTGGAGTATGACTAATTAATTCATATCCACGATGCATACAAAATTTCTTATCATGATTTTTTCCAAACGCAAAGCTCGAACCCCAGGCCTCTGATTGTTAATTGAGTTGTTGTTGTAAAAACAACATATCATCAATATTCCACAAATTGTCACAAACATTATCATCCAAAAATAATTGGCTCATATTTTGGTGATGATTATTATCATTAAAAATATCACCTTGTTGAAAATAACCACCTGTGGGACTAATCAAGATTTCCCCATAATCACTTTGATTAAGAGGATAATTAGTGTAGCAATTATCAGACATGTCTGAAATTTGTGTCCCAATTGAGTTTTCTGATGAAGTTGTTGTTGTTGTACTAGAATAATTCTCTTGTGTAAAAATCATATTTGGAACAATATTATTATTATTTTTATTATTGTTAATAATAATATTTTCATTTGTTTTTTGAATATTCACTTGATTATTTGAGTTAGAAGAAGCTTGAATTCTCTCAACTAGCCTTGGTATCCAAAGATAATGCAATGTATCTTTGAATTCTTTGCTATTGACATCACACTTTAGTTGTTTGGCTTGTTTTTGTACTCGGGTTCTCCAGTAATTTTTTATCTCATTATCTGTTCTTCCTGGCAAATGTTGTGCAATTTTCGACCACCTATAATCAACAAGAAAAAAAAGAGTTAAATAATTTTATATTTTGATATTAATTAATCATCTAAAAAGATAATTATACGCTTTATGTTGGTATATCATGCTTTTACACTATAAGTATATCGAATTATCTAGTGTATATTATGTATAAATGAACATACCTATTGCCCCAACGAGAATGAAGTTGAAGAATCAACAATTGTTCTTCAAGTGTAATATTTCCACGTCGAACATCTGGTCTAAGATAATTAAGCCATCTTAATCTGCAGCTTTTTCCTGTTCTCTTTAAACCTGTTTAATTAATATTCATGACATAAGTTAATAATTAATAAATTCCTCATATCACACAGTTTATTGGTAAAATAATTTAACAAAAGAACCAATAATATCACTTTAATACTCTAACCACTTTGTATTTAAAAATAATTAATCATAACCATTTTAATTTTGCCCCTTTTTGTTTTATCTTAGTGGAATGATTAGATGAGTTTTAAAAAAGATTATTTAGTACGGAAAGAAATTATCCACTCACACACTTATAAAAATGAATCTTTATCTCTCTTCATAACTCTCGTTTATCGAAATATCTTTTTATTTTTATAAAATAGAAATAAGATTATGTATATACTATTTTATTTATATCTTACTTGTCGAATTTCACTATGTTGTTGTTATTGTGATTCGTATGACTACTAGAAATTTGAAGCTTCCCTATGAATATTCCATTGATAACCGTGGGAAATAAGTTCATAAGAAATTGTTTCCGACAAATTTTCATGAGAAATTTCAAATTACACATGACGCGCTCCACCAGAAACGTCCATGGGAAATTCATAAATTTCGAGCTAGTAGTTATATATAAATTGATTAAGAAGAAAGAAAAAAGTTTGTAATGTTTTCTTATACTATAAAATGTTACCTGCAGAACGAGCGAGGGAATTCCAACGACCTTCGCCATGAAGAGCAATATGATTCATAAGAGTGAAATCTTCTTCAACAGTCCATGAACCTCTTTTTAGGTCCAAATTATTATTATTTTCATCACCTTTTCTATCGTTGTTATCAATATTATCTTCTCTTCTCAAACCAAAATCGACATATTGATGATGATGATGATCCATCGATAATAAAAAAAATGGAATAAGCTAGTCGAACTCTTTCAAAAGGTTACTCAAGTCACCTAAAGCCTCGTGAATTATGAGAAACTAAATTTTTTATAGAGAGAGAAGAAATTTTTAGAGAGAGAAAGATGTACTAAATTAGTGCATGATGAGATGAGAATAAGTGATAAGGGGTTTATATAGAAGAATAAAAAGAAAGAGAAATTTAAAAAAAAAAACAAAAAAGTGAGTAAAACGTGTAGATTTGATGGAAATTAATGAAAAATTAATAAGTTGTAACTTTATATAATGAGTTTAATTAATGTTTAAACTCACAAAGCCACAATTAGGAAACATGTCTATTTTTTAGCCACTTGTTTAATTAATTGATGAAAGTGTATACTGTGTGTTAATTAATTTAATTAATTAGTTAATTACACTTAATGACTCCAACTCGTTTTTGACACTTTTTGACTTTGTCTATTTTACTGTATGAATCCACATTTTAATATTAGTTCAATAAATTAAAATCAATTTTTAGATTTTTATTTTCTTTATCCACTAAGCAAGTTGTCATGGATTTGCTGACTTTCTTAAATTCATTTTTTCAAAGTTAATTTCCTAAATTCTTTTTTTTTTTCAAAATTGAATAAGATGTCCACTAACATTTGATATTGAAATTTCATGGTTAAAACTAAGATTTTTTTCTACTATTAGGTAGAGGCGGAGCCACATAGACTAATATACTGAAAGATGGTCAATTGAATATTTTTGTCAAAAATATATCATGTACATCGAAAATTATGATGTGTATGTAGCTTAATTAAATATATATATATATATATATATATATATATATATATATATATATATATATATATATTATATTGAATGGAAAATGATCAAATATACTGATGTATTAGCAAAAATAGTTTGAAACACATTCCTCATTTGAGTTTTTGTTCAAATATACTTCTCTTATTATATTTCGATTGAAATATACATCTTTACAGTGATTTATACTTATTTTGGATTGAAAGTATAACGAGAAGATATATTTGGGCCGAAACTCAAAACGAGAGTATATTTAAACTATTTTGATATATAGTACATGAATATATTTGGCATTTTTCCATATGTTAAAATCTTGGACATTCATAGTAAAATTCTTGACTTTATCATGACTTTTATTAGGTCATCACCCAAAAGATATTTATAGATACACTTCTAAAGTATAAGATTTATAATATTGAAAATAAAATATATTACCTGCTATAAAAAATAAAAATGACATAATATTATAAACTCGTATATATACAACATGCAACTCTAACCTAACTAGTTAGGCTTATTGTGTTCATCAAAATCTCACCAATATGTCACCAAACTTACTTCTTACCTCTAACTAATCAACTTAAGTTTTTTAATCTCATTATTGAAAAAACACGAATTTTTAATTGACATTTCTTTCAGAATATCATCAGAAATATGAGATTGTTATTATATATCCCTGTTAGAATATTTTTTACAATCCAATTTTCGATAAAATATATTTAAAATTTGTGTTTTTTTATTAGTGTCAGCTACTAGCTTGCCTCTAGAGAAATTTAGCTAATTTTTTTTTTTGGTGCCTCATTAAAATATTTATGTGATTTAATGTGAATATGGACTATGTAGTTATGCTATTGAGGGCTATATATTATTATTTAGTAATTTTAGAATTAACAAGTTATAAGTAGCTGTACATAACTTCATGCCTGTCCCTATTGGAAGTACTTTATTTATTATTCAAAATTAATGCGTAAATCCCTCTATAATTGCTTATAAGTCCTCTTTAAACAGATGATTAATCAAGTACATATAGTGAGATTAAGCACTCTTAATCATTTTTAATATCCAAGATTGAACTATAACCAACAAACGTTTGTGATCGAGTAGTAAGTATGTGCTCTTTTATCCTTATTAAACTCTACATAGTGGCTAAGCCAAAATTTTAATTAAGGCGTACTATCAAAACATAAAGAAGTAAAATCGCGTAAAAGGCAAGAAGTGTCAATATATATACATAAAAAATATTTTTTACCTAGCTTTATAGTGTAATTTTCTGATGAGGGAATGTTGATCGACGTCCCTAAAGTATATGTGACTCTACCACTGACCTTGAGTATGGAGTTGTCTTTGTTAGTGAGTGCTTTACGTATCCTTTAATATGGATATAGTTTTGTCGAAAATCTAAATTTTATCGAATTCAAATATAAATATCGGACACAACCAAGAAACCATTAAGTAAGATAAAGAAAATGTGAAAACACATATGGAGAGGATCTAAATATTAATTATTAAAGTAATGATTACAAAAAATAATAACTAAGCAAAGATTGTATACATCTTAAGCCACCGGCCATCTTTTTGCTTGAACTTATTAATATAATAATTTTTATATATTACTGTAAAATAAACTTATTTTTGTTTTCTTGCTTTATATTATTAATTATATAACTGCTATTATATTATATACTATGAATAGACGATTCATGGACCACTTTGAGTTTACAATTTTTAAAATGCTTCCATATTCATTGCACTGTTTTAAAGCCACCATATTAAACAATAAACTTCTTTTATTTTATTTGTTTAGCTGTCTTTTTACAAAAGAAATAAAATTAAAATAGGTACACACATTTTTAGAATTTATGGCTAATTAATTTAAAAGTTAAAGAGGATGAAGACATTTACATAAACAAATTAATCTACAAAAAAGAGTACCCCAATCACGTGTTCTATGACTTTTTTAATTTTTAGTTTCCATTCGATATTTGATATTCGATATTAATATTGGAATTCAACTAAATTTAGAATCAGACTCCTTAACAAAGGCGACTTCGTATTCACTAGGACTCAAATTCGAGACCTCTAATTAAAAATAAATAGTACTTACCACTCCACCAGAACGCTTACGAGTGTATTCATGACTTTATGACAGATGCAACTAGTACTACTAGAGATTATTAAAGTTATATTACACTTGTCTCTTCTTTTCTTTTTTCTAGTTTATATTGTCATTGTATATCATTTTATGATTTTTTTTTTATGGCTAGAGATGTCTCATGTGATAATATGTGAGGGATTATTGTTAGCTAGTGATTATTTAAATAACTATAGTTTAATTTAAAGTATGATTATGAAATCTAGCTATAAATTGTATATTTACGAAACGTAGCTATATACCGTTATTGTATAGATAAAAGAGCTAATTGTATCATATGAATATTAATTATATTGAGAGAAAAAAATGCAGCAAGGCGACATATATCAATTGTATAAGATTAAGCAAATATTAATTATACTCACTATATATTATATCAACTGAAAATGTATGAAACAATTCTACCGCGCAAAATACACTAGACAAGCCATTATTATTTAAAAATTAAGACAAAAAAACAAGCTTTGCTTTTAGTAGACATACATCCTCCCACATGTAGACATAGTTTCTATTTCTTATAGCCCTTCTTTTTGTTGGGCTAAAGAGGCCTAAAAATATTTTAATATGATAAGATATTATTTATTTTAAATTATATATATATTTTAAAAACGTTTTATCTTATTGAGAGTATCACTATATTTTATATATTAGTCTTTTTCTTTTCAACTATTGATTCAAAAAATTGGTGATTATCTGATAGTGTGTCACATTCTTAACAATTATCCTCGAACTAAGTTACACATGTTCGATTCTCACAACATTTGAGTTGTTATCCCCATTGCATCAACCAATCGAGTAGTTATGGCCACCAAACATGATTCATGTGATATTATCTGCTTTAATTTGGATTAATCTCGCACAATTTTCTCTAAAAAATCTCACATATTTAAAGTATCTCTACATATTTTACATATCACATATTTTTTTCCAATTATTAATATAAAATTTTATTCGCACCTGAAAAATAAAAAACTTAAAAAAAGGGTATAAGCCCACCAAAATGGTCTCTTTTCATTACTCAAATGCACGCTTCCCATTTAAAGTATAGTTTTAATATTAAAATATTTACTAATGTTCCCTCTAATGTTTACAAATTATATAGGACACGTAACTATGTTGATTTTTAACTCTAAATTACCCCACATATGTTTATAAATAAATCAAATATATTTGGAGATAGGAATATTTTTTAATATACCTTTTACCTTTTAATAAATACCACATTTAGTTGATTTAATTATTAATTAAGACGTGTTGTTTTGGCACTATATAGCTTTAGGCCCCTACAATATAATTAATTAATTATAGACTTAGTTGATTGATCTTTTTTATTTGATTGTTCAATGTATCATCTAATTTCTCAAATTAGAATTCACACTAGTGAAGAAAAGAAGTTTTATAATATATAGTAACATTGCCCTACAAAAAATAAAAATGTATTATAGATTTAACATATAATTCACGAATCACGGGGATCTAGATAGATCGATATATTAAGCAAAATAAAATAAAATCATGTTCATTAAGAATTATAAAGATTGTAATCACTATAATTTTTACGATTTAGTTATTGTGAATAAATCTGAACGTTCAATCTTAAAATTATAAGAGATTATGGATGGAGTGATGATGATGGTTTTTTAAAGATGAATAAGGAACGGGGAGGGGGAAGTGTGAGCGGGTTGAGTCAATAACATATCCATTTATCAATGAATATTAGCTTAAATTATTTTGATACGTCCAAAAATTAATTCAATCACTATAGAAATTGTGATTGATCAATGAATGAAACATCCAATCAATTGGTGAAGCAAAATATGACCAAGATTATATTTTTAAAAATAATAATAGGATGAATGTATAGTTGGTCTAGATTCATTGGCAGTAAAATAGATGTGGATACTTTTGGATTTTTCTTATTTGGTGTCGTATATGGCGAGATCAAAATTTTTTATTAAGAGTGTTAAGATTTAATATATACATACGAAAAATACTTTTTAGTCTAAATACTTTGTATAATATTTTATATAAATAATATAATTTTTTAATTCGATGAAACGTGCAGTTCAACTGATCATTCTTCGTTGCACATGTCTATGGCACTACCAATATTCATATTGAGGCTTTATTAAATTTAGATTCAAATATTACAAGACTTGTTTCTAAGCCCGATATTTATTAAAAA